CACAATGGTCGAAATTTCGATTCCGCCATTTTCCAAGATGGCCGCCAAATAAGTGAATTTTCGGTTTCTTGACCAGCATTTTTCTCCCAGAAGAAGAGCGGGTATATAAGAGTAATGTATGCGAATAATGGTTGGGTGGATTTGGTGAGTATCAGAAAGTACCAAAACCTTCGAAAACTGCTTCACATCAGGTAGGACCCCAGCTGCACGGGCGGGAAGTATACGGTTTAACTCTAAGGTCTCCAAACAAATGTTGCTCCACACCTTGGGCAGTTTCTATCGGGAATAAAAAAATTCAAAATTCGAAAAACAAAATGGCAGCCATACAAATTTCGGGAACCGGTAACTGTTGGAGATAGATCGTATTTAAACTAATATATAGGGCGGTAGGAGCTAACTGGCCTTCGAAATTATTTTTTCAAAATAGCCGATTCAAGCTGACGGCCCGACAAAAAGGTGCTCCGATCCGGCTGAAATTTTATAGCCTTTTGTGTTTTGGAGCCTGTAATACGAATTAGCGGTCAAATTCTAGATTTCGCCATTTTCCAATATGGCCACCGTACATTTTCCACAGTCCACTATGTTCCGAGGCCAACATCTCGGCGAGTGTTGGAGATAGATGAGAGGCGCTCTAACAAATGTCGTACAGAATAGTGCGAGCCAACTGCAGGTAAAAAAATTTCAAGGTGGAGGACTCAAAATGGCCGCCAGAAGTAAAAGTGCTCCGATCCGACTGAACAGAAACTATTAGATGTAGGTAGGAGGTGCTCGAAGGAATGACATAGAGGGTAATTCTGGTCAACTGTCTGGGTTAAAAAAATTCAAGGTGGCTATTTCAAAATGGCGGCCGAAGAAAAACTTGCTTCGATTCGGCTTAAAGTTGGCGTGTGAGGGTCTTTAGGGGTCCTCAGTCATAATTTGAGGTCAAAAATTTATTTTCGCCATTTTTTTATATTATGGCTGCTATATAAGTGTTTTTTTCGTTAAAAATAGCTGCCGAAAGAGATTTGCTCTGATTCGACTGAAAATTGGCATGTGAAGGCCACTAGAATTGCCAGATAATAATTTGTACTAAAATTTGTTTTTCGCCATTTTTAAATATGGCCGTCATAGAAACATTCGTTGGCGGCAGAAAAAAACCGTAAGTGGGGTATAGGGCTCGTTCTTATATATATTTCTGCAATATAATTGTAAATCGAAATAAAGGTAGCTTTTGCATTTAGCTCTTTCAAATTATTTCTATGTGTGATGTCTCAAATAAATCAAATAATTGTAAATGACAAAATTATACACGTTTGTGATTATATGAG